GAAAGCTTAGCATGTTGAGTAAGCTATTCTACCGCTGAAAACCCTTTTCACTTTGTACAATGCCATTGCCCTGCCTTATGTCAATTATTGTAGTCTTGTCTGGGGAGGGGCCAGCTCGTGTCATTTAAACAGGCTAAATACTTTACAAAAGAAAGCCATTCGTCTATCTTCAAACTCCCATTATCTTGCCCATACCCATCCGTTGTTTAAGAAACTGAATATATTAAATGTCTCTGTTTAATGTAACAATTAAAACAGGAGTCTTTATATATCGTTATCAGAACAATTTGTTACCACCTGTGTTTAATAATTACTTTGTTACAGTTGACAAGACACATAATGTCAACACAAGACAAAAACGTAACATTTTCTTGCCATATTCATGTTTAAAATTACGAAAGGTAAATTCTATACAACAAAAAGGAGGTGAATTTCGGAACAATATTGAAAACTCAATTAAAAATGTGACCACTCTAAATTCTTTCAAATCGAAATTCAAGTTGCGTTTTCTTGCCACATATGAATGAATTCCCTGATGCATACAATTACGTTATAAATTATGTCGTTCTGTATTATTGTGTTTTAGTTTGTAATGTCTTGTTTACGTCTTGCATTTTGTTATATTGTGAATTTTAATGTTTAATGTTTTGTATTTTCCACATTTGTCATTTATGTTATGGGTCAACCCACTTCCCTCAAGCCATCGGCTTTATCGGGTGCTAATGATCCATTGCACTTCTCAATGTATTGTTTTTGATTTTTTAAATGAAATAATAAATTGAATTGAATTGAAGAAAAAAACTGAAACACTTGAACTCGTTACAAAATTGTTGGTAATTATCGGAAAAGAATACATTGTGTTGAAACCAATAGCAATAAACTTCCTAAATTTAAGGAACAAATGACAGTTTTTTTCCTCTGCAGTGTTTCATATCTATTCTCTTAACAAAAAAGTTAAACTAATTAGGCAAAGCTAATCATCCATCTATATACAGGTGGTCCATAGGCGCCGGAAGCGGAGGGGGGGGGGTACTTTATAAAGAATGTACTTTATAGCAAAGGAAGGGTCATCATTTTTAAACAAAAACATAATTCTTATTGTTTTACGAGGAGCCCCATTGAGGGGTCTAACTAGATTTGTACAACTTTGCAAGCAAGACAAATTCAGATTATTCCGTGCTGAAAACTTGCATTTCTCAACACACTAAAAAGCTAATGAATGTAGAGACAATGTACGAACATTTAGGTTAAAGATTTACCTGCACATTTACCATGTTTACAAGTCTTATCTAGCAAGTTGATTGCAATACTGCACATTGTGCTGTCATGGAGGGGGGGGGGCCAAGCATGACCCCCCCCCTGAATGAAGCAAGCGAGGGGGTCCATGTGGGGCTCAAATCGATTTCATATTGACTAGGCACAAAACTTTCAGTGAATTTGTGTGGTTGACAATGTTATTTGAAATAGAATTAGTTTTCTTTTGTAAATTATGTAGTCAATTGACCAAATCTACCAGGGGTAAATCATGGTATGAATCAGTTTGAATCAGTTGTCTAAATAAGGAGTCTAAATAAGGACGTCAGAACGTCCATGAGGTTTTACTAACAAGATTAAAATTATGTTATTTAAAAGTCTTTTGAGCATAAAGAGCGAGCCAAACCTTCCAGACCAATTCACTGACTTTAGAAGAAAACAATACTGTCAAAAGCAGATGGGGACAAGTTCTGGCATATTTTGACTATCCATAATTAGACAACTGATTTACAAGATGGTTTCACTTAAACTAGTCATCATCAGTAGTTCTTAAATAAAATTTCATTTTCATGTAAAAAATTAATACTCCCTAGGCTAGGGAGGTTTATTACTATGGGATTTCCAGCGAAATAAAAATTAAATCATGTGGAGCACAAGAGCAAGCAACTTAACATCTAGCGTTTCTAGCATTTGCAGTGATTTTGTTTCGAATAAAATCTTTTATGTTTCTCCACGTTCTCCTATTCAGTACTGTTTCATTTTTCATGCATATTTCTATTTCATTTTTACCTGGAAAAATTCCCCATAGTAATATACCTCCCTAGATGCCTTCTCACCGCACCCTCCTCCTCAAAGGACCATGCCCTCTTCTGTGTCTTCTTCGATGTTCGTCGTGTTTCATCTGATTTTCTTTTGGCCCCTGTGAAGATATACAAATCAGTTGAAACAATCACTAGTATGAAGAGTGTTTCAACCACTGCACAAATTTATATTCTAACAAGATAAAGGTAAGATTTGATTAAAGTCCCTATGAAAATATCTCCGGGGAAAAGGTGGTTACATCAAACTTCAGTCGATCATATTCATTATCAGTAAATCATTCTACATTTATTAATGAAATTTAGCCAGGCAATACCCAAATCGACGCATAGTCTTGTCTTGTGCATTATTTACACAAGAAGCTATAATTGAATCTTTTGATCTCCAATTTTGAAAAGACTGCATGCAACCGAATTACCTTTAAAGAAAAAAATACAATGTTAGATCTCATATGAAATTCTTTGCAACTATTGGCTTCAAATCAGATAGCAAAACAGCAAAGTTATAACGTTTTATCAGTGATTACCTTTTGATATTCTACCTGGACCCATAGCTCTCCTATCGTCTACCACATCTTCCCCTTGGTCGTCGGATGGTCCATCTTCATCTTCTGAAGGATTAGAAGACAATTCTTCAATTTCTGGAACACACACAGACAAAAAGGAAGAATTACACAAGAAAGTAAATTTATCTTTGTATCTTTAACACATATCCTTTAACAACATGATCAAGGTTTCTGTTTTGCTTTTATCGGGAAACAAATAGTAGTTTATATACATTTTTTCCTTCTTCAGCTCAATTATCGGTCTATGCGAAGAATCATATGAAATTACACTGAAACTGAAATATCAATTCAAGAATTGTCTCGATCCAATCTATGTCTTCTACTTTTGGATAGAACTTGATGTCTGAGTACAGTGTGTCCCAGAAAAAGAGGTAAAAACGGATTTAATTGCAGGAATTTTCCGTCATAATACATGATTTTCTTGATAAGATATGCATAAATGTAGTCCAGTAAAACGACATTTAGCTGTGCTGATTTAGCAGCTGACAATGGACCTAATGTCCGAGTCAAATCACACGAACATATTATGTCCACTTTCTTTCCAAAAACAGAAATCACTATAGCACCGTATCTAGCATCGACTCATTAGGACGAAATCAAGAATCTTTTCATGTTACTTCTTCTCTAGCATACTTCATTATTTTTTTTTTACGAATGAGGCGTCATATAAAAGAGGACAATTATGAATTTACATGTGATGTTTTTCTTTTTCCAAAATAGTCAAGTTTACTAACCTAAAAAAAAAAAAAAAAAATCAAAGTTGCAATTTATGCGTGCCAATGAATTTTTGGTACCACCCTTTTTTATCGTTTTAATTCAATCATGCGTGCAAAATAAATAATAATACGTTATGCATCAAATAAAATACATGTATATCTCATCATATCATTCTTTATTTATTATGACAGAAAATTTCTGCCATGAAATCCGGTTTCCCTTTTTTCTGGGACACGCTGTATGTTACTCAGGAAATACTTCTTAATATTTAAAGGGAAAGTCCACCCTGAAATTAAGTTAGTTTTAATAGGAGTAGAAAAATGAGAGAAACAAGTCAGTGAAAGTTTGAGCAAATTCCGATTAAAAATAAGGAAGTTAGGATTTTTGAAGTTGTGATCAATCAAACACAAATTGGCAACTTTATGACGTATCATGCGAGCTCAACTTCCATTTGCTCAGTACTAAAAAAATCTAAAAGTTTCATTTTCCCTCAAGAAAAATTTCAACCATACATGCACCCTAAATATAATAATTGCAAATATGTTTCTATACTCCCCCTGCAAGGAACAAATATATATTCCGTCATCAATAACGAAGAAAACATGATTTTATGGAATATTATGCACAAAGCAAATGAAGGAGAGCTCGTATAATAAGTCACAGAGTTGCCAATTTGTATTTGATTGATCACAACTTCAATAATTCATAACTTTCTTATTTTCATTCAGAATTTGCTCAAACTTTCACTCACCTGATTTTGTTATTATTCTGCCTCTATCGAAACAAAATTATTTTTGGGGTGGACTTTCCCTTTAAGGCAACGTTATCACTACCTTCATCTTGGTCAACTTCAACATCTTTTAGCCGCTTTCCTCTGAGTGACTCTGCTGGTTTATCTCCTTCAAGAGCAAGAAGCATCTTGGAAAGCTTGGCTACCTGGATGGTGGGATCGGGCAGCCGATAGAACTCACGATGAACCCTGATATCGTGTCCAAGATATTTGGAAAGGATGTCTAGATTATTCTCCTGTAGATTCATAATTTGTGTGATTGTTGCAATATGCTTACGCAGTTGTGTTGATCTTAGAAGCTCTGGCTTCTGGGCTCCACAGCGTCTGGATATTTCCCTTAAGGCATCACACCCCCTGAAATGAGATTCTGTCCCGGGTACAGCAAACAGGTAAGGGTTGCTATCTGGAATCCCCACTCTTGATGCAACGATTGTGTCGACAGATTTCTTCATAAGGTCTGTCATCATCAACGGAACTGTCTGACCACGCTTTCCCACAAGCTCCACTCTCCACATTTTGCAGATCAGTCTCTTTTCCCAGTTCTTGAGCGACATATCCTCCATCACATGCGATGATCCTTTTCGAACTTTTGCATAATCTGTCATCTTCATCTTCGAGACCTCTCCCTGTCGTCGTCTGTTGAAGAGAGTTAGATGTGTGAGAGACAGCTTGCTTAGTTGGGTAAGGAGCTCTTCATTAATCCCTTGCTTTTCGATGTTATGCAGACACTCTTCGCTCTTTTCCTTGATGAAGTTGGAAAGTATAACCACATCTGATGTTAAGGGAATTAACTTCGGGGCATTCCTCTTCCCCTGGTAAAGGGATCGATGAGCATGCGTTGCTACATCAATTCCCCACCTAGCCTCGTACAGGGTCAAGAAGTCTCTTGCTTTTTCTCTAAATCATTGCTTTCTGTCATGAGCGCTTTGCTTACAAGGATAAGTGCCATCTTTTTTAAGCTATGTCCGACTTTAATGCTGTAAGACGGCTTCTTGTACAGTTGCGTCTCTTCGTCGAACTCGCAGAGTTTCCTTGCTGCCTTGATGGTGTCCTGAAAAGAAGCTGGAGCAATCAATGATGACGCTTCTGCATCCTTATTACCGGACATACTTCTGAATTCGAGGAGAAGTCTTGCAACTGCTCTGATTTCACAGCGAATGACGTTGTCGTTTTCCCTGCTATGTCCCAGTTTGAAACACAACTGTTCTCCGAGTGCAGTTATTGTGTCATCATTTCGGATACAAAGTGACACCACATCAGATCTCAAACCTGCCAGCACCCTTGCATATCGACTGGTGACAGTGGTCGGCAGTGGTCGGAGCAATCTCCCAGCTCGAACGTTCACTCCTCGAATGTATCCAGATTTCCCCTTCTCTTTACACAGATGCTTCCACATTTCGTTTTTGTTGTACCACCCTAAGCAGTTTGGGCATGGTTGGTAGTCATCGGGTCTTGCTTCGTAATTTGGCCGATATATAGGGACGATCATTCCTTCTCCACTTCTGCATACTTTGCAGTTATGTTGGTGATTCCCCATATTCCTTATCTTAGACATCAGCTTGTTTCTTTCTTGGGATGATGCAGCACCAAGGTACTCGGCAACAAGTCTTTCACTTTGATGCTGCTTCAAGTGAACTCTCAGCTTTGATTGTTTTACTTGACAAAAGAGGCAGAAATCAATTTTATCGTAACATCTCTTACCACCAATATTTTGCGTTGTCATAACAGTGATTTTACCCTTATTTTGACCATGACTTGATGAACTTGTTCCTTCAGTGCAGTTTGTTTTAGATTCAGTTATTCGGTGATGGTCAACTGCTGCTTGAAGTTGATTTTCTGCATATTCTTTCCGAGTGATTGATATCTCCTGTGGAAGAGGAATTACTTCTTCGGAACTAATATCGTCATCACAGTCTGACTCTGACTGTGATTCTGGTACGTACTCGCTACCACTGGATATGCTGATTTCATCATCACTTATTTCTTTCATTTCGAAGCTTGGTGTCGGATGATCAGATTGACAAGGGGGGTGTTTTTTGGGATCATCTACATCCGCTTGATCTGAAGGTTGTCGCTCTTTTGACTCAGATGCAGGTGGCAGCGCATTACTCGCAGACTCAGAAGGGCTCTCAGACTCTGTGAACTTTTCCAACTCATCACTGGTGGGTTTTTCTACGCAGGGACGAACTGTTAAAGCAATAAAAATCATGATGATTTTAGTAGGGAGTTTGGGTTTTTAATTTTTTTATTTAGTAGGTACTCAACATGCCTGTAACTGGGGAGGGGTTGCAGGTGTGGATGCTGCAGAGTACTAATGGTAGTTGAGACTTGGGTTTTATAAGTTATATTATGCAATAATAATTTTTGACTCCCAATTGTGGTATAAACTAATTAAATAATTTGTTTCCCTAAGCTTTTTAAAATAGTCAGCCCTAAAACTAGCATAATTATTTTGATTGATCGTCAATTAGTTAATGAAGCAAATCATCGCATAAGACGCTTTTCTTTTGCAAACTGGCATGACAGGTGATTGTACCATATTATCATAAATAATATTCATCTCCATATTTTAGATCTCAAATTTATGAACCTGGGCCTTTTATATGTTCAGACCAGCTATTCAAAGGTAACTTATGAAGTCAATATATTGTATCAAACACTTACTCAAATTCATACGAATACAGTGGTCTATTCCATCTTCAAATCTGACTCTGATGCATCCATCAGATAAACTCTCTTGAATGATTGCTGCATACCACCTGCAGTCCTTCCAGCGAGCGTTGACTACATCTCCAGGTTTTAATGACTGTGACCAAGACATGTAAAAATGATAACATGTTTCTTTATTTTTTATCACGAATTCAAAATGTTATGAAAATTTGATATCTGAATACAATCATCATGAAAAGAAGAAGAAAAAAATTGGCTAGATGTACTTTCACTTCATGTGACTAAACATACTTTTAAAGATTAGCAAGTGTTTGGGGGAAAACTAGGGTTTTGGAAAGTGAACAAACTTAATTTAGTATTGATTGCAAAGTATTTTCTAAGCATTGGTGAAACTTTCAAGTTATTAACCCTTGTTATCTTTGAGTATGGTTTAAATACAAGTATGATTCGTCCCTCCCCTTTTTCTAGGATATTTTGTCCACATGGATAAAACCTCCACTACTTCGTTTCAGTTATAAAGCAGGTAGTTACATTAAAGTTCAGAAAATGTTCTAATTCATGCTTAGTTATATGAAATACATATAACCATTGTCGACAGTGGCTAAATGAAAAATTCACTTGAAAAAATAAAATAGCAATATTGAGCAGTGCTACGCCTGACCATTACCATGTTACGTGTAACTGTCAACAATTAAGAAATTGTAATTGTAATGGGTTTTCTTTGTTTAATAGTAGAGATTGATACATTAAAGCCCAAGTCCACTCCAAAAATAACTTACTTTCAATATAACCATAAAAATCAGACAAACCAATCAAAAAAGTTTGAGCAAAATCGGATAACTAATAAGAAAGTTATGAACTTTTAATGACATGAAAAACTTTGAAAATCACTACACAAATTGGCAACTCACTCATGAGTCTGTGACGTATGGTCCTCACTATCCACTAATTATTTTCTTTATTATTGATAATATAAATTTCCTATTTTCACTCTAAGAATCTTATTTCTTCACACCAGCATCAAAGTTGGATTGTTAGCAATATGATTTTTGTGTGGATGCACAAATAAAGAGTAATTTTTGTCCAGTTAAATCATGAAAAATTGAATTTTGATAAACTATTTATATAAAAATCAATAATTATGAAATACAATATTCAGAAAATAGTATCGATTCTTCAAAATTCATAAAAGTTTTTGTGAAATGTCATGCAAGCAATATGGTACACATCATATAACCTGGGCAAAGGCATGGGGAAATCAAGTTTTGGGGGATAAAAAGGGAAATTAATGGGATTTAATTATATAAAGCAATTGATAAGTTGTGAGGACATGACGTCACAAACTGATAACCATCTTGGCAATTTGTGTTGTGATTCTCATTGTTCCATAGTTTTACATACTATTTCAAAGATTCATAACTTTCTTATTAGTTATCCGATTTTGCTCAAACTTTTTTTGATTGGTTTGTCTGATTTTTCTGCTTTTATTGAAAGTAAGTTATTTTTGGAGTAGACTTGCATTATGGCTCAAGGCATGGGCACACAGAATTTTTTTTTATGTTAGGCACCGGGGTTAAATGCAATAAATTATTGAAAATGTATTGCATTTTCTGTTGTTTTTTTAATTTATGGAAACTGCCCCCTACCCTAGCCCCCGCTGCGTACAGTCATGGTTCAGTGACAAAGCAATAGCCTCGTAACTGTGAGGCCCCAGGATCAAAACCGTGTCGATGTGCTATATTAGTGCCCTTTTGTGTGGCATTAATCCTCATTACTGTCATTTATGACTTAAGGGCATAGGTCCCCTAGTTGATAAGCATAGTAGGATACACATGCTTTAGCAGTCACGCAAAAAACACATTGGCAAATTATTTTTCAATAAAATCTGAGAATGTATACTGTTATCTAGATCTATTATTTTTATATTATTTTTAAAATAATTCCATAAATTGGAATAAGAAAAAAATATTCCAACTTTATGAGCGACAGTGTAGAACCAAATTAGACGCATTTTCAAGCACTTCCTGGAGTAATATGACGTAAGATTGCTTTCTCCTACCCCTTCAAAGAGTAGGGGTCTTTTGCAATTCGGAGAACCACATTTGGCGCATTAATGTCCACCGGCCCTTCATGGAAAAAAAGAGGCCTTCTGATTGGAAGTTAGAGAAAAGTGATCTGTCACGTCATGAGACGTTGAATAAATTATCCTTTGATGCCGCACAATGCACAAAGACGGTGGTCCGGTACTTCACCAGTAGTACTTGCAAAAATTATCTTGAGTGTATAAACTGTGTCGTCATCAGGGGCGTCGCTAGATCTTTTTCAGTGGGGGAGGTGGGGGGGGGGGGGAGGGTTTAGAGGCCGCCGATTACTGACAAAACGAGCCACCAATATTATTACCGACAAATATAAAAATGCCAATGTCCAAATGTCTACAAATTTAACCCTATAAACCCGGAGCCAGGAACTAAGTTATTTTTCAGTTTTTCTCCCTCCCGGCGAAGCGCGGAAGCTTTGACACTTCATTAAATTATTAGAAAAAGAAGACGATCCGTTGTACTGTTCTTGACTCTTAAAGCTTGTTTCGCCCCTCCCGCGCAAAGCGGGGAAGCTAAGACGTTTCATTTAATTATTAGAGAAAGAAGACGATTCATTGTACCGGTCCCGACTCTTATTCCTTGTCTGAATTCAGTTCCCCCCTTCCCGCGCTAAGCGCGGAAGCTTTGACGTTTCAATACATTATTACTCTTAATCCTTGTCTGAATTCATTTTCGCTCATCCCGCGTGAAGCGCTGAAGCTTTCATGTGTCATTAAATTATTAGAGAAAGAAGACGATTCGTTGTATCGTGTTCTTATCTAAATTAAGTTTGCCCCCCTCCCGCGCAAGGCGCGGAAGCCTTGACACTTCATTAAACTATTAGAGAAAGAAGACGATCCGTTGTACCGTTCTCGATTCTTAATTCTTGTTTCGCCCCTCCCGCGCGAAGCGCGGAAACTATGACGTTTCATTTAATTATTATAGAAATATTACGATTCATTATACCGGTCTCGACTCTTAATCTTAAACTCTTAAGTCTGAATTCAGTCTCCCTCCCTCGCCCGCGCGAAATGTGGAAGCTTTGACGTTTCAATAAATTATTACTATTAGTCCTTGTCTGAATTCATTTTTGCCCATCCCGCGCGAAACACGCGGAAGCTTTCAAGTTTCATTAAATTATTAGAGAAAGAAGACGAATCGTTTTATTGTGTCTTTGTCTGAATTCAGTCCACCCCCCCTCCCACGCGAAGCGCGGAAGCTATTTCGTTTCATTTAATTATTACTCTTAATCCTATGTCTGAAATCAGTTTCGCGTTTCATTAAATTCATAGAGAAAGAAGACGATTCATTTTAGCCTACTGTTGAACTGTTCTCGACTCTTAATCCTTGTCTGAATTCCGCCCCCCCCCCTTCGCGCAAAGCGCGGAAGCTTTGACATTTCAATAAATTATTACTATTAGTCCTTATCTGAATTCATTTTCGCCCTTCCCGCGCGAAACGCGCGGAAGCTTTCAAGTTTCATTAAATTATTAGAGAAAGAAGACGAATCGTTTTATTGTGTCTTTGTCTGAATTCAGTTCCCCCCCCCCTCCCAGGCGAAGCGCGGAAGCTTTTTCGTTTCATTTAATTATTACTCTTAATCCTATGTCTGAAATCATTTTCGCGTTTCATTTATTATTAGAGAAAGATTAAGACGATTCGTTGTACCGTTCTCGACTCTTAATCCTAGTCTGAAATTAGTTGCCCCTCCCGCTAAGCGCGGAAGCTTTGCCGTTTCATTTAATTAGTAGAGAAAGAAGACGATTCGTTGTACCGTTCTCTACTCTTAATCTTGTCTGAATTCAATTTCCCCCATTGGGCCCCTTAACGGTATATGTGCAGTGTTACATGATGTAAGTATGGAACGCTCGTTCGCAAATCTGTCCATTCTCAGCCCGAGTGGTGGGTAGCATGTTATCTCCCGGCAGTGCTTTGCACAGTAGCTTCTGGAAAGGAATTAGTGTTACTGTTCGTGGCCACTATAAGGCCCTTAGTGACTATAAAAAAACATATGCTCTTCCTGGCTATTTGGGAATAGGTCAGTTTGCAAGAAATAATGGAGAAATTAGCATTTTGTTGAAAATCATGTGATATCACGAACATTTATACATTACTTGTGAAAATAAGTCGTTCAATTTTATTTGGGGGGGGGGGGCTGGCGCCCCCCCCAAGCCCCCCCCCCCCACCAGTACGCCAGTGGTTGTATGACCCAGTCCTCTCTTTTCTCATACTCTTCTTCCTTCTCCCTCATCTTTTTCTTCTTTTCTCTTCTGTAGTTTTTTTATTTTATATTTTTGAGCACATATAACGGGCGGTCGCGCCCTGCCCCTCCCATGTAGTGCCGCCCTGGTTTTGTTCAATGAACCTTAAGTTGCAGAGTATTTCCCCGTAAAATTGGGGATATCAAAATATTGTGTGAAGATTTTACGGTGGAAACGGGGATATATTATGTGCGAGAACTTTACCGTGTAATCGGGGATATTAAACATGTGTGAAAACTTTACCGTGTAATCGGGGATATTAAACATGTGTGAGAACTTTACCAAGTAATCGGGGATATCAAACATGTGCGAGAACTTTACCACGTAATCAGGGATATCAAAGATGTGCGAGGACTTTACCGTGTAATCGGGGATATCAAACATATGTGCGAGAACTTTACCACGTAATCGGGGATATCAAACATGTGCGAGAACTTTACCACGTAATCGGGGATATCAAACATGTGCGAGAACTTTACCACGTAATCGGGGATATCAAACATGTGCGAGAACTTTACCACGTAATCGGAGATATCAAACATGTGCGAGAACTTTACCACGTAATCGGGGATATCAAATATGTGTGTAATTTTTTTAGCAAAGGTACCCTTACACAAAAGTGTTAAGGCAATGCGTATCAGAAATAGAAATGGGGGACTTTTTCCAAAAGACCAGAACAAGAGATGGCAGTATTATTTAATTATTTTTAAGCGTTTCTAAAAGCATTTCAAACGATTTGGAAATCGGGATATCCCCGATTTACCAAATATCCCCGATTGGAAGGTGTGTTACGCACGATTGTCCCCGATTTACACCCATTACAAGAGCACACACACATCCAGAGGGGAAATCACAGTTCCCATATGATTGTATTTCTTGGTTTTTATTTTGGAGGGAGGCTTATTAGCCATGAAAAACAAATACAGGGGAAAAGCCTCAGTAATGTGTCCATTGTAATAAGGCCTTTAAAAAAAAGGTGATGTAATTGCCCTTAAGTTGCCAAAACATGGGTTGGTCAGTCAGAAATCTTTTTTTTTTCCAACTCCCTCTTTGGGCTGATATTTCTCAGTTTTGAATGCTTAAATACATTATTTTCTAAAGAAAGGTAATAAAAAAAAAACTTTTCTAGAAAGCCGACCATAGATTTCAAGATTTTGGGGACGGTCGCAAAGGGCAATTAATACATCTTTTGTTTTTGGTCTTGGTCTGGGCCCTGTCTTGCAAAGAGTTTTATAATAATAATAATATTTAATTTTTGTATAGCGCTTAATACAAATGTCTCTAAGCACTTTACAAATACACTATTAGTTGCGATTGATCATGAGATTGCGTGAGACTCCCTCCAAATGCGGGAGGGTTGACAGCCCTGGATAATCCAACCAGGTACCCTTACCTCACCTTATCCTTACCTGGGTCGAGTGTACGTGGCAAATGTAGATTAATGTCTTGCCCAAGGACATTAGTGCCACATACGGCAGGACTTGAATCGAATGACAATGATAACGACAATGACAATGTATTATATCTTGAATTTAAGAAGAAGTGACAAATTATATTTCCTTAAGAATATATGTACATGCATGTACAATGATTGAGAAATGTGTTTGAAATCAGCAAAAAAAAAGTAGACACTCTTTATTGTTCAAAATGTTTATATATACTAGCTATCAATACAAAATATGATAAAATATGTATCAATTGAATAGATGCAAGTTGATTTATGTTTGTAGCCATGTGTAATGTACTACGTGTACATATTGTTTGTGTTGCATATTCTATGCAGATGTCTTTCTAAGAATCTGATTTGTATGTCAAGAATTGTTTTATATATGTTTTTATTGAAGAATCAAGACTATCATGTTCATCATCAAACTCATGCCTGTAGATTGTATTTATTCATGTACCCAGTGTTTGTTTATTCATACAATAAATTACAGCCTTTTCCGATTCTGTACATCTTGGAATCTCTCTTCTAGCTGTCTTTATTTGTCAAACCTTTGTTTTTTTGTAGTCTTGTTATGTCACTATACAACTGCAGGTACTCATCTCATCTGTCTTCTTGAAGGGGAAGGCCACCCTAAACAAGGCTCAACACTAACGGGTACCCGAGACACACAGGCACTTCAAATCTAAATCCAGATTCCCCACCACAAGTAATATGATTTCAGGATAGGTCAGTGGAGATCCCTGAATTAGAGCAGAAGCTAGATGGAATTTCGCCTGTGCGCTGACGATTTTACAAACCAAAACAGTAGCAATTTTTAAAATTCAAGTTTGATTGTAATTGATTAACAGGTTCTCAGAATATTGTGGTTACATAAGCTATTTTTCATATACATATATGACCCTTTGATCTTTGACCTCATATGACGCTAAAATCTAATCTGTTCATTGGATGTGCAAGATAGAAATATGTCCTGAGTTTGATAGTAATCCATCCGTCAGTTCTAATGATAATGTGATCATGAGCTATTTTTGCATACCGGTACATAATAAGCCCTGTGATCTTTGACCTCGTGACCCCAAAACCTATAATTATCTAACGGTATATACATTCAGCATGTTTGAAATAAGTGCATTCAATTTCGTCAGCACTAAAGTATCTTTATTTGAAGTCTCTTAATTCTTTGGATTCATATGGATCAAATTAAAGAACAAAGACACTTAAATTCCAATAAAGATTTTTTACGCGATTGGTATTAAGCTTATTATACAGGCTTACAAAAAAGAGGTTAATATATTATGTAAAGAAAAATTCGGGGGGGGGGGGGGGCTGGTAAAAGGGGAGAAATATTGGAGAGAGAGAGAGAGAGAGAATGGTAAGAAGGTTACAATGGAGACAGAGAGGGGGCACGTGCGAGAGAGAAAATGATAGAGAAAGGCTGGGAGAGGGAGAGACGGACGGAGCGAGAGAGAGGGAGAGAGAGAGAGAAAAGATGTGAGGGTGACATGGGAGAGAGGAATAGAGAAAGAGAGAGGAACAACTGGTAACATACATCGTCCAAAAGCACAATTTCATTGAAAATTCTTTTCATTCAATTACGTGCATTTCCGCAGTAAATTGCAGAAATTACCTCCAAATCACTAGTTTTGTGTTCTAAACTTTATAAAAGTAAATCTCTTCCAAAGTAAATTTCCAATTATTTAGAATATGTATACATTATAACATGCATTCAATTAAATTATGTAATAGTTATTAAAGGACAAGTCCACTCCAACAATAACTTAATTTCATTAGAAGAAAAAATTCAGACAAACCAATCAAAAAAGTTTGAGCAAAATCGGGTTTTTAGCTGGGCCCAGCCGATGTTCGACGTGCGATTTTCACCAACAAAAACCCACATGGGGCCCACATGGGGCCCATATGTGTGGGTTCTGGGTGGGAAGGCCCATCTGGTATACATCTGGTTTTTTTATGGGCCACGTGGGTTTTAGTAAGCCCATACAAAACCCAGATGGGCCCCAGATATTTTGCTATCTGGGTAGCTATAGTTTGAAAAACAAATATTTCAAAAAATATTTAAAAATCGATGAAACAAATTTAGAAGTTTACATATCAAAATATGAGATGTATGAAGGACTGCACACCAACAGGAATACACTTGTAGTTCGATGTCATGGGCCCTTTAATGAAGAACATCATATCTAGCTAGATTAGGTGTATAGTTGGGATCTTTTTTCCTCTATTTTTTTACCTGCATTTCATAATAACAGACATAGACAAACACACACACAAAAAACACACACACACACACGCACACACACACACGCACACGCACGCACACAAATAGTACACACCAGAGCAACCATGTTCAAAATTATAATCCCTAACAAATGAGTGGAAAAATATATTTCCCTGGTAAAAAGTGGTAAATACCGGTAAAAACCGGTAAATACCTGTTATTTCTTGGCGTCCGGGAAATAAGCCTCCAAAACGGGAAATTTGCCAACCCTGTTATAATAATAACAACATTAAACTGGTGATAGAAAAGTATAATGTGGTTTTTTCCTTTATTATAGAATTTCTTACGTCTGTGAAGTAGACTATTCGCGCCTTACATGAACCAGGCCGAGGACGTCTTTCTTCGTGAATTTCAGAACGTATTTCCTTTAAAAAATAAACAAGAATGCCTAGAGAAAGCAGGTAAGTGCAAATAAAACGTACTTTATTCAGCCTCAATGGCATTAAGTAGAATCATTATCAGTAATTTTATCATTATCCACTCCTGGAAAGGTCCATATCATGGAGCTACAACCACATCCAACTTCTTTGGATTTGGTAACTCGAGATCCAGAGAGCTCCGACTCCGATGCCGATGCGATGGCGTCGGAGCTGAGCTGCCATGGCCTAGAGTTATGGATTTGGTACTCCAGCAATAGAGAGTCGATGCTAATGCGTATTGAAGTAAAACTGGGTGGTTAATGATATAGAATAAATGGTAATGATGATGGCGGAGTTGAACCCCAAATTTTGGATGCGTACGATACCCCGCCATAACACTCCCCGTCCAGCCCTCGGCTCACATTGAGCCAGCGCCGGCGCCAGCGGCCTGTTGATAATTGGTTGAGCACGTAGTCTACGCCATTGTTTTTGCTCTTCGGTGGGCCTGGGCCATTGTCTTCGGTGGGTCATATTTAAACTTCCATTTCTAAACGCACTTGGTACCACGAAGCGTGATTCTTGCAGCCTCAAATTTAGAGCGATAAAATAATAAAATCACCTAGATCTAGACTCTAGGGGCCGTTTCTCGAAACCAACTCCATGACAGTCATATCTTTGTCGGCGACCTACGGAGATGTCATGAAGCGGATAAACCGTTTCACAAAGCCATGACAGACATGATATCGATATATCGCGATACTAGCAGCTCAAGAACATAGTCTTTGTCACGATCCATTTGATTTATCAAGAATAACCCAAAACAAGTTTTGGGGTTATAATTGTTCAAAAAGAAATATATACATATAAATTCTCCTAAAATAAATAATAAATAGTGTCATTATCATATTTACATCATCAAACGATTTGCATATTTCTGTAAAGATTCTTAAATTGAAGAAAAACTGGTGAGTGTTTTTTTTCGACTGTCGAATCAAAAGTTAGTTGAAGGATACCGTAAATTGTGATAGTTTATCAATACATACTTTTTTTTATTGTGACGAGGAATTTTAGGCAAAATGTCTTTTCTCAGCCAGTTTTTATTCTAGAGTCTCATAAATACTCGTTATATAATTGATTTGATATTGAAAATATAATTTGGAAGAAGTAATTAGAGAGGAAATAATAATGCACATACGCCCCAAAGGTATGACGGTATCCTAAGAAAAGACTATGGATCGACTATGGAAAACGGTGTGTAACATTCTTACCTCTCTTATTTATATGTTATAGTTTAATGATTTGTGATTTAATGTTTATATTCAGCTTTTTAAAGTTTCTGTATAATTTGTATTCTCACTTTTGTACGTTTGCATTTCGCATCCCAGAGAATTACGTACCGAACTCGTCTATATTTTTCTCAAAATGATAGTGAAACTAATCGTCCATTTCGGGGCCCATGGAATGGCAACAAACTGACTCGTGATGGCGCTTTACAGCAATTAAAAAGATATGACAGGTTCGGAGCAGTGACAACTCGCTTGTCGCGGAAGTTGTCGCTCATCTTGGCAAAGATGGCTTCGTGAAACACTTAGCTGACAAGTTGCGTGACAGTGGCGAGATGTCGTTGATCTTGTAGTTATGACGGTTTCGAGAAACGGCCCCCTAGATTCTAGATCTAGGTCTAGATCTAGGCTACCGTCAACTGAAACGATATCCATTCATTTCTAAAGCATATTTATTTAGTTAAATTGAGATAGTTTGTGAATTGCATATTTTTAGTTCTTTTTTTCAAAATATCAGTGTGAAATTTAATTTTGAAAATCCTGAAACTTGAATATTCAAACCCAGGTTTTGGCGCGACGGTCGGGGACAGGGCGGGAAACCGTTTTTACTCAGGCCTACAATGCAGTCTACGTGCATTGGGCGATCATGCAAAATTGGTCAACCTTTATTGCTCGTGATCCTGAAGGTGGTACTCAATAAATGAGGTGGCATATGAAAGAGCAGTTTTCTCCATATTTCCAAAGGGGCGTAATCTCAGAATCTGGTCAAGACAGCGATTTCAATTTTGTTTCCATCGTAGCTCCGATATTTGCCACTTTTGAGAAATGACGCCCCACGCGATAAGTATTCCCAGATGTGCTTATTTTTTGCTAGTCCCAAGGGAACACACTGTTACAGTTTGAAAATACCTTTTCCCCAACTTTTTGGATCAGCTAAGTAGGGAGGCGTAACTCCGCTCAGCCCAAACCCATGGTGGCAGCGTGTAAAATCTGCACATGCATACCGGTATGTATTTTATGCTCGGTAGCTCAGTGGCGCAAAACGATCTTTGTGCGTATTGTGTATTCGGGGAACGGACCCACATACGGATAGCACAATGAAGGTAACAGAGGTGGAGCTTGCGATCGCGCTCAGTCAGCGTTGCAGCTTACCAACATGCATACAAGAACGCTTGATATCACGTAATGCAGCTGTTTAGCAAAACAATATAACTCTGCGTGTACGTCTTTTTCATCGACTCTAACAAAAATTGGATGAATATTGACTAGATTTTTTTGGGATAGAAACATCGGTGAGTCTTGAAATTTGAAATGTATTATTCTGAGTAAATGTTTTTTTCTCGATTCTCCTACCATCAGGGCTCGACTTTATCGGGAGCCCGGTGGCCATTGGCTCCCTGAAACCCCTGCGGGCTCCCTGAAAAAGTGCTCGAGGAGCCCGGCTGGCTCCCTAAGTTTTTCTAGTATCAGCCACGAAAAATGCTGTTTCTTACAAGCACTTTAATCCATGTTTTAATCCATCTAAAAACCCAAATTCCGCAGTCAAAATCATGAAATATGCGCTAGGCATTCCAAGGCACACTTGGCTCAACTCCAGCGCGAATAATGAGTTGCAAAAGAAAACACATCGAGATCAGTGCAGGAATGCCATGCATGATAACGTTCTATCTCCGCACTCGTAACGAGTGCGCAATACATGCTGCATTGTATGTCGGTGCACTCAGAGAATGTACACACTAAGACAAACGCACGTGGTCGCTGCGTTGCCAGAGCTGAGTGTATGTTTACGTTGACTCGTGTTTGTGATACATGTGCGTTTGTGATCGTGAGTGCTTATTCTTCAGCGTGCGTACCTGGATGGACTTGATTATTGTTTGAACATAATTTTACGAACTACAAACTTCAAAGGCGTGTGTAAAAAGGGGTTGATTGTTGTTTTGTGAACATTATGTACGAATTAGGGAGATTCGTGGCTAATCGTTAAAACGGCGTGTATAAACGGTCAAAGGGACTGAAAAGAATAAAATATGGAATAAAAAAGTTTGACTTGACTGTCGTTGGACTAACTTAACGGCAATCAATAAATGAATTTATTATTTCTTTCATATGTTTTCGCAAGGTTTGTGTACTACTATAAACTGTTGTGTGTTTTTTTCTTACAGTTTATGTATTTCACAAAATGTTTTTATTGTAAACTGAAAGTAATTTAGCCTTCCATGGGTTGGCTGTCATATAGTAATACGTCATTTGATTAATAAAATTAAAAAAAAGTATTTGACTATTTCAATCACGTTTCGTCTGCTATTACGACTGAGCTTTTATTTGCAAGATTTCATTCATGAAAATAGTGAGTCACGTCGACACTTTCAACATAGTGCCTGTGTTGTTTGGTAAAGATTGCATGAGAAATATAATCAATGGAATGTTCGCGCAGTCATTGAGCGGAAATGACCATTATTATGACCACAAAAAAAACGTGATAAACTTGGGCTCCCTGAAACCCCTGCGGGCTCCCTGAAAAAGTGCTTGAGGAGCCCGGCTGGCTCCCTAAAAAAAAAGTAAAGGTCAGGCCCTGACCATAATGGTGAAAAACAATCCAAAGGGGAAAACTGAGAAATCATTCAGACTATGGCATGTGTGAAATAAGCCACTGCTCATTCACTCCGTACATAGGGATTTATTTCATGTGATGCCTTTAGGGGATTCCACCTCCCCAAAGACTTTACACGCAAGTGTGTTTGTACACTTTCGATGACGATGATTATTTCATGAGAAGGCAAAACATATCATCAAGTATTGTCCAATATTGTACCACAGATAACATGGCGATGAAGCAAGGAATCGATTGTTGGACGTCTCTCTCAAGTACAGATGGAGAAGGAGAAGGAACTCTTCAGACATCACATGGACATGATGAAGGTATGGAGTGTTTCAATGTGTTCTGCTGTACCGTAAATCTCTGTGTACATGTATAAGAGGCACTTTTTTCCCGCCAGAAAAGAGTGTGCTTATACACAGGTACAGGATATTTTGAGTCCCCAAGATGCTACTCTGTAGTGCTTTTCGAAAATCTCTGTGTCTCAACATGAATTTTATGATGCGAATAAAGAATACCATCTACTATTTGAAGTTAAACCACGTTCCTAATTTGAAGGGAAGAGAGCCTTTTTTTTCTTTTTTTCTTTTTTTCCCAGGCTCGATAAATTTATGCCCCTTCACATGGCACTCTGCCGGCCAAAGCTTACCCGTGTCTTCAGCTCACCCGTATCTTGCAGCTCACTCACACGGGGGTTATCGACTCACCGCTCGAAATCTACCGAGTCCAAATTTCTGTTTGGACTCGGAGAAAGATTTCTCAGTAATCTTAAAACGACATTGTTACTAGTATATGTGGCAAGTTCACAAGCACTTCAACTGCACCTCGTAATAAATCACATTCTTTCCCTGCATGAGTTTATACCTTACCGACCGCTGAAATAAGACGCGCTGATCTGGCTCGCTGCCTTCAGTGTCGGGTAAAAAGCAAAAGCAAAAGATTTTGGTTTTGTTTTGGGGGTCTTTGTCCTAAAAATAGGGTGCGTCCTATACACAGGTGCATCGTATACACACAGATTGACGGTATTTGGTAGTGTTTCTGATGAGCAATGACAATATAAGTTAAGTATATATGCTCCCTCTCATCTGTCTCAAAATATTTGCTCTTTGAGTGTGATTTCTTTTGTTTACATGTATGTCTGTGTTGCTGTGAGACTGAAATTTGCTTCCATTCAGTAAGTATAACGTTGCACATAAATTTACATAGATGTGAAGAGTAGACTATTGCAAGTCTGAAAAAATTAAAAAACCTTAAAATTGAGATAACATAGTAAAGAAAGCTCTGTCTCAAAAGAAGAGAAAAATAATAACGATGCACATAATATACAGATAATTTTCATCTCTGCGCTGATTAAAAACAAATATTAAACCTATATTGAATACACTTGGTGTTTAATACCGTAGGCATACATGTAAGCAATTGAAATTTAAAGGGAGATTGCTAGCTGTGTCCATGTGCAGAAGATTCATGATTCGCTGCCACGAGACTAGGTGGAAATAACATTGATGGGTGAACAAGTCTTGCATACAGCAAACCTTAGTCCCATCAATAAATACCCCCTAGAAGTTCAGAGAATCTTCGGGTGTGGAAAATGTAAGATAATTGCTAGCTTATGAGGATTTGTGGAATAAGCGGAGCATTTCATATAGCATGTTGGTCATAAAACTGAAGGCTAATCCTGTTGATTGACAATTAACACTTAATATTGGTTAACATCCAAATGGTGTCAAATTCCCCAGTGAGAGCCCACTACAATGCATCTTTAACTCATACAACCTTCATTCTCTCACCTTACACATCAAGTTATGAAGAACAAAAAATAAGTAAGATTTATTCAAAATAAGTAAGATTTATTCAAAACAAGTCAATCTACTGGCTGAGAATCAAGAATGTTCACTTTAGTGTTGTAACTTCACGGATATCTCCAATTCCGTTTAAACGCCAGTCAAAACTGGACGTTTTTTGGTTAAACGATTTATATTTAAAAAATAAATACAGTAAATAGATAAAAATTTAAAAAAAATTAAATCAAAAAAAAAAAAGTAAAAAAAAGTTTTTTTAACCCACACGGCACACGGGAAGGACTTTCATTTAACTGCAAGGTGCAGTTGAAGGCGCTGATTTGTGCTTGTGGACTTGTCACAGATAAAAGTAACAATGTCGTCTTTAGAAGTATGTGTAAGATCATTGATGTAAATTAAAAACAAAGGACCTAGGATAGAACCTTGTGATACGCCTTGTTTAATAGAAGAAACATTGAAGCAATTATTATTATAAACTACATATTGAGATCAATTAGAAAGATTACTTTCAAATCAAGATGACAGACAAATTAGAGTGTTGTTCTAGTTTCCGAGTGGTGAGTCAACACACCAATTACTGAGCTGGAAGACATTGCCAGACATAGTGCCAGGTAGAGGGGCATAAATCAAAACTTTTTTTTAAAATTAAAAAAGGGAAAACGAAACATCCAATTGAAAACGGATAGAGCCGTGAACGGTCAGATACCGGACGGTTAAACGTTTGACTACAGCACTAGTTCATTTGCACCAATGCAATCTCTAAAAAGATGCATACGGTAATACATGAATATAAAAAAATAACAATTTGCATATTCTTGAATAACATGTATCTACTTCACTCTGTATTAGAGAAATGATAAATCTATAGTGATCAAGAATTGTAATGATATTTATTTTTTACATGAAACAGGAAGCATCTGCATCAAGGAGGAAGGAGAAGTTGAGAAGGAGACGTGTCTTTCCATTCCAGGTTCAGATGGATTGAGATATGAGGGTCAGCTTGTAACTGAAGACGGTATGCTATAGGTTCTTAAACGAAAATCATACATTGATAGATGAGGGTCAGCTTGTAATCCATGATGGTATGCTATAGGTTCTTGAAGGAAAATCAAACGTTGATAGCAAATCAACAACATTGAGAGCAAATCAACAACATTGAGAAAAAGCAACAAAATGAGTGGTTTGCTATAAGATAGAACAAAGTCATACAAAAATAAGAAAGTTATGAGTCTTTAAAATATGATGTCACTAAGTCTATGCAAATCTAAAAAATCAGTGATTTGGTTACTGGATTGTGAAGCTGTCCCAAATAACTCCCCCGTTTGTCATTCACAAAAATACCATAAATTTCAGTTTTTCTCTGAAATATATTGTGTATAATTTATTATTAAAGGTTCTCTAAAAAGAAAAGACACTCCTGGGTCATAGATTTTGAAAAATTGATGTTTTACCGGTAGTCATTTTGTGTGTTGAAACAAACGGGAAAGATTTCAAGCAGTTCGTCATAGTGCCATTACAGATTCAGCCAATTTGAAGAGCCCAAACTTTCAACCGTCTGCTTCTAAGATATTTCTGCTTTCTTTTAGAATAGTTTACTATCAGGGTTGAAAATCTCATAAAAGGAAAATCAAACCTTAAATTGATTGAGCCATCCAGAAAATATGAAATATTGTTGTAAATAGGGAGGATGCATCTTTGGGGCACACTCCTGCTTGCAAAGTCCAATCAAAACCTGAAAATATTCATATTATAGATCTAAATGCAAACGGTTTTCAATATCTGTAATTCCAATCATAAATATCTTGATAATCAGACAGGCGATCGGCTTGTAAAAGTCATGGAGTTCCTGACTGACCTAAAGGTTTATAATTATCATTGCAGCATGAGCTAAATCCAGGATTTTGTTTCAGAATCTGAGACAAAGTTACTGGATCCCAGTTCTTTTCCCTCTGTTTCATTCTTGTGAGTTATTGGCATACTATTTTGTATTTGGTTATAACATTCATTCTTCTCTTTGTAGCCAACAATAGGTAACCAGATCAAATTTTACTTCTCAGCTAATATGAAAATATCTTTACTTTGTTCATAACAGGTCTGGTCTTCACCATCAAACAAGAAGTTGACACTGACATGTTTGAATCTCTCTCAAGTACAGAAGGACAAGACCCATCGAATGAACAAGGTATCATGCAGCTATGAAGAGAATTCTATTGTACAATGGCACTCAGGGTGGTCAACAACAAACAAAAAATAAAACAAAATGTAAAATTGTAACATGAAATTAGTAGTATGTACTGATGCATGCAATGCATGATGTCCAATGTGGCTGGGCTCTTAAGGTTAGCTTGAGGGCTATAGGGTTTATAGATGCACTCTGCAGACCTCCCAACCTTTCTGCCTTTGGCGGAAAATTTCTGCTTTATTTTTCTTTTTCTGATTTTCCGCTTTTGTCTTTTATTTTCTGCAAAAAACAAATATCATATATTGATGAAGAAATAAGTGTCTATACATGTCTTCAACTAAGAGGGCAGTTATGCGGAAGTGAAAATTGCGATCTTCACAATGCTTTACAATGTACAGTGCATGTATTAAATGCACGACGTGTGATCGCAGTCATCGCGATAGTACGGAGCTTCGGTGAATCGCGACGTCTTTTTCCTGATAAAAGGCAGTCATCAATCCTGACGATGATCTAAAACAGACAATAAAAACACTTATAAGTAATTGATAAATTTGTATTTTTGATACTTACATGTAGATACATTTGTTGTCACTGTGAGTGGTCTGATTTTGCCATAACTGAATTTTGCGATGTATTATCTTTCGAGCGCAGTTACTTCCAGCGGCGACTGGAGTGAAGCCACACTTACTCAGCGGGGCCGGGCCTTCGCGATCGCGTGCGTGGCATTTTAAGTTTTTAGATGAATTGTACGAGTTCTACCACCTCAAACCATATACTGATCTTTGATTTTGAGATAATTAATTAATTAATTTAATTGTATTAGAATCTATGCAGTGTTTTCTAAAATCTGAAAGGTTTTTAAAAAATTTTCAGGACTGTGTTTTTTTTTAATTTTAAAAATCCAATATGAAACTTCATGTAAAAATCCCATAATCACATGTAAATGTGTCCAACATCAAGATGTGTGTTGGGTAGCTGCATATGATACATATTTCTTGATAAGTCAGACATGGCGCGACGTGCCACAAATTTTGCTGAGCCTCGCAAAAATTTTGAAAATCAAATGTTGGGAGGTCTGACTCTGTGCAATGTGATCCTCTTTTGTAGCATTTCTAACAAATTTTGTACCTCATATTATTGAATGATTTTGGGTGGAAATGAACATTAGTCTGTCACTGAATTTGTGAAAGCCCCTTGGGTGACTCCTTTAAGATGCTACGTAGGTATTAACTGCTGGGGTATTGTTTCTCAAAACTGCCAACATTACAAGTTCACAGACATTCCATTGAAAATCATGAATGTGTTAATATTCAACACAAGCATTTTGATGGGTAGTCTACAATCTTCTACTTATTACAGTTTTGTGAAACGTTGCCCTGTTTTCTGTTTTGAATGAATTAGGATATAAATTCAATGTCGTTCAAGGTCATGTTTTACATGTATTTAGTAAGAATTTTAGATTGAAGATGTGAACTCTGGAATATTTCGAAAAGATTGTATGCTAGGTTGATGATGACAATTTGTTTTAATTGCCCAGGGGCCATCATTAGGGACTTTTAGATTTGCAGAACGACAACGTGGATTGCTACGATTGACATCCTTTTAATACACTGCCTTGAATGGACGTCACACATGTCAGTCCACGCAAATCTAAAAGTCCTTATTGTTTTCATGACAACGAACCAAACTTCAATCTTGGACCAAACACTGTACCTAACCCTTGCCTCAAATCTTAAATCACCTGAAATTCAACTGCAACTTCAAAAAGATAGTTTGCTAGGTTGATTTGTTTTAATTGCCCAGGGGACAGAAGAAAAAAAACCAAAGGAAAAAAAACGAAACGGACCAAACAAAATCATCATTCTTGTAGGATACTATTTTTTCTTCAAACTGATACCAAATTCATCAATATTCTTGTCAAATTTACAGGAAAAAATCTAAGTTTACCAAAAAAATTATCGTAATTTAGCAAATCTTCATCGATTTTGAAGCTAGTACTGAATCACAGCCAGATTTGATATCCTATATATATATCCCTACCACAATGTAATGCAAAATTGCCTGAAATGGATCCCAAGAAAATAGACTTGGTACAGACTTCGTCCGGATGAGCAGTATCTCCGTAACGGCCCTTTCTTTTAGTGATGCAATGGCACGAACTTAGATCTACCAATAGATATTGTTTGAAAAATAAGTTAAGAAGTTTTTTTTCATCTTCATGTCAACAACGCAAGACAAAATTGTCAGTTACATGTGTGGAGTTACTCTAGAAATGTCCTGTACCATTGTACATTAACTGGTATAGTCATGGTAGTCCCATATGTACGAATATGCTCTATTTTGACCACTAATTTTTTACTGTTGTTGCGCATAGGCCGCACCCACACTTTTTGATAGTTTCTCTTCTAAAAATACTGCGGCCTTTACGCCTGCAAATACGGTAACAGCATAAGGAATGGGCATTTCTGCATTGGAAGTGTGTCGCGCATGGTTGTAAGTTTCGTTTAAGTGGAATCTTTTTTTTTGCTTGAAATCCAGTGAGAGATTTTTTTTTTAGGGGGCTCTATATCAAATTTTGGAGAAATTTTCGGGGGCTACTTTTTCAACTTTCGAGAGCTCTTTTTTCTTGGGCTAATTTTTCATTAATTCATTTAAGGATACAGTTAGTTTAGTTTAGTAGCGTAGTGTTACGTTAAAAGGCATTTTTTAATGCATTGCTTTGATGCAAGAACTGTATCATAGTAAAAGTATTATCATGTTTTTAAACGACCATGACGACCGTCTGATTTTCTTGTGAAAACTTTACTTTGAAAAATGATTATCGAAATTCAGTATGCAACTATACATGGCCAGAATAATCACAATCTAAGCTCAGGTTACATACCTCTTTTCACGAAACTATATTGAAATCGGGGCAATAATAGCAATTTCCAAGTGTTGTTTAGACTCTCCTCATACCATGGACAGGCCTAGCTACTCCGGTCATAGCTACTCCATGCTCACACACTCAGCTCCGACAGCACCGGGGACAGCAGCGCTCAGCTGCAGTTGCAATACACTATTACTCTTTTCACACTGGTTTTGCTTATTGTTTAACCCCGTACTATCCTTAACCCCGGACTATTTTTGGGGGGCTTTTCACACATGCTGTTTTTAGTCCCTTACTAACGCCTATTCCGGAATAAGAAAATTCATGCTGTTCTCACTGCAGTTCCTAGCCCCGGACTATATGATTAGACAGTGGGCTCCTCACTTCGCATCTGGCCAGCTGCGATACGCTCCATTGCGTAGTACCGGACTATTTTTCGTTTCTGTTCTCATTCATTTGCGTGGCACCGCAATTGCGGGATTAGCAGGAGTTACATGTAGCACCACAATTGCGGAGTTAGCCCTGATATTTTGCAGGGTTAGTTAACCCCGTACTATGTAGGTGGGGTCAGCCAACTTTGGTAAATACGAGTCTGAACAGAAATTGGAATATGCTTAACCCTACTACTATAGGTGGGGCTAAGACCCCCCCTTGACCCCACCTATAGTACGGGGTTAAGCAAAATTTTGCCAGTGTGAAAACAGTATACGTGTGTGGACTCAAGGCAGTTTGCAACTGAACTGTCAGTCACGTGAAGGTGTACTATCACAGATCTATTTGCGCTATTATTGTTGTGATTTCGATGTAGTTTTCATGAAAAGACCAATAAAACAGAAGCTTGGACTATGATTTTGTTGGCATAGATCTCAGAATTTGTATAATTATTTTCAGAGTAAAGATTTTACGTGAAAATACGTGTAGGTCCATGATTTGCGCCAGTTGTAGCAATCCCCTCGACTCGAATCGACTGTACTGTGTGCATTTGTGTGACCTGAGCGTGTAATACACATACATTATGGGCGCCTGGCCTACAAAGCATATCATATTGTAAGATGCCTAACTCGGGTAAGCCACACCCATTACTACGTGCATTTCCTACGCTAATTCACGGGAGTCGATTGTCGTCTGCCTTGTGTCTCTTTGTCTCACTTTGATTAGACAGAGGGCGGGTGCATGCCTTGCCAACTCGCTCTCACGGGTACATCCCCTCCTTGCAATCCACCACGCCGCCGTGCTCTCGTCTGCCCGTCCTCCCCGGAACCCCGAAACCACGTTTAACGACATGGACGTTGATCGCTGGGTGGACGTGACACGCGGGTTACGGGAGACATGCCTTGTGGAATTGTGTCGCCGTCCCCGCGCCACGGCGGAGGCGGGCGCGGTCGAGGAAAGACGTTTTTGAGGAACCGTTTTGGACCCCCGCGGCCATTTTGCGTATTAATAATAAAGATGTTATTTGGATGTTGGGGGGGGGGGGGCATTGGCTTGAAAAAGACTCAAATGTAAAGCATGATAACTATATTCAGAAGGAAGGGAACAATCTAATAATTAAATAACATTTTCTCTATGTTGTAGTTAAATATCTTGAACATCAAGTTGCACCACAAGAGTTGACATGGTCTGAAAGTAAAATAGTAAATAAATTGCTTAAAAATAGTTTAAAATCTCAAAATAATTAGCACATGCACAGCTATTAAAAAGAAATATGTTGAACATTTCTTCATGATTTCCCTTTCCTATAGAAATGGTCTTTGCCACCATAAAGCAAGAAGATGAGGAAGAGATATTTGAACATATTACAACTGGAGGTGAAGGAGGAGGAGAAACTGAGCAATCAATTCCTGAAGGTATGATCAACATTCTTTCATCTTCAAGTCAAATCAAATCCTTAAAGGGGAAGTCCATCCTGATTTTTTAGATGTTTTAACCACTTTACTGCTATTGGCTTCATACCCCCTGTGCTACAGCATTTTTGTACTGCACAAAAAATGTACATTGTACACAAAACTGCCAGATTTTTTCCTGGGAATGGCGCCATCTACTGTTCAAGACCTGTATAACAGCATAGCAGTGCTGATTACACAGTAGGGCTAGGCTATATGCAGTGCTGCTGTCTTGAAATTGCAATGCCCTAAGCACGTACATGTACGTTGTACGCACGGAAGCGAGGGCGAGAACACATATCGGTAAATGTACGTGGTCTGCAGTCAAGTGGTTAATGAAAAATGAAAGCAGAAAATGAGGGGAACAAATTAATGAAAGTTTGAGCAAAATCCAATTAGTAAAAATAGATAAGTTATGAATTTTGAAAGTTGTCATGATTGAAACACAAATTTGCAACACTGATGTATCTTCCAAGCTTCTCTCCAATATAGTGTATATATTGAATTCCAAATTGTAGTATTGCTTTATATAATGTGGCTGATAGAATTTTCATGAATGAATAAAATAATAGATATAATTTGAAGGTATGAATTGTATTTTATTTTCACTACCTACGGCACTGTATACACACACACAATTTTTTTTTTTTTTTATTACAGTTCATTGAAAAGCACTTCAAAGTGGAGCTGATTTTTTTTTAATAGGGGATATTTTCTCCTTTTATCCCCTCGCTGACGAAGTCGGAGGGGATATAGAAATGCTGCCGTGCGCGCGTCCGTAACAAATTTGGTTTCCGATCGATAACTTCAGTAATGATTGACGGATTTTAATGAAATTTAATATATAGGTACATGATATCAAAATACAGGGCAAGTGCGATTGTGGAGTACGTAGGTCAAAGGTCAAAGGTCATAGCTCATTAAATATGCGAATCTGGTTTCCATTCGATAACTTGAGTAATGTTTGACAAATTTTAATGAAATTTGATATGAAGGTACATGGTATCAAAACACAGCCTAAGTTCAATTTCAGAGTATGTAGGTAGAAGGTCATAGCTCATTAAATATGCAAATCTGGTTTCCATTCGATAACTTGAGTAATGTTTGACGAATTTTAAAGAAATTTGATATGAAGATACATGGTATCAAAACACAGCCTAATTTCAATTTCCGAGTATGTAGGTCAAAGGTCATAGCTCATTAAATATGTGAATCTGGTTTCCATTCGATAACTTGAGTAATGTTTAATGAATTTTAATGAAATTTGATGTGAAGGTACATGGTATCAAAACACAGCCTAATTTCAATTTCCGAGTATGTAGGTCAAAGGTCATAGCTCATTGAATATGCGAATCTGGTTTCTGATCCATAACTTTAATATTGTTTGATGGATTTTAATGAAATTTGATATGAAGGTTCATGGTATCAAAACACAGCCTAAGTTTGATTTCGAAGTACCTATGTAGGTCAAAGGTCATAGCTCATTAAATATGCGAATCTGGTTTCCATTCGATAACTAGAGTAATGTTTGACGAATTTTAATGAAAGTTGATATGAAGATACATGGTATCAAAACACAGCCTTAGTTTAATTTCGGAGTATGTAGGTCTAAGGTGAAAAGTCATAGCTCATTAAATATGCAAAAACACCTAATTATATATGTGAAAATGTGGTTAACTTCCTTGCCTAGTAATATAATAATATAGTCCAATGGAGGTAACTTGTTCTGATGTATATAGGCCATTTGTACCCTGCGAGGGGATGCTACGCTTTGCGTTGACTTGTTTTAATTGTATTAAAAGCTAAATTAGATTTTAATACAATTAAACAAATTTCTCCAAAAGTCTATTTTTACAGGCTCAAATTAAAACAGCGCTATTAAAGCTTGTCTGCATTGCGCCCTCTATAGATCAAACAATGCCTACGCGGTGCCCTTACGTTAATTGAGAGCTGATTTGATGAGGAAACCGCCTGTCTGTGATCTTGAAGGGAGGTCTAATCTCTTCTGACCAAACTAGTGTAAACAGGCTTTAAGGTTGTAAACATTTGAGTAGGTCCTTCGTATATTTGAAAAACTTGATGCCAGAGCATTTTTGCCATCTGTGAGTTGCTTCAGGTAAAAAAATCTGAAATCTTGTCACGTAACTGCTATGTCCTCATCTTTGCAGCCTCCCTGAATACTTGCTTCTACACTTTTTCAGCTCTCTGTAAGCATCCTTTCAACATGGCTACGAAGAGAAACCTTGAAATCGTATGGCAGAAACATGACTTACTTTCTTTTCCTCCCCAGATTTGGACAATGGACAGGACAAGATACACACACTTATAACAGCAAGCAGTGGAGAGAAGTCCTATCCGTGTTTACATAGCAGTAAGACATTTACTGATGAGAACTGTGGAGAAAAGCCTTATCTATTTTCCCATTGTGATAAAGGATTTTCTTGCCAAAGTAATCTAGCAAAGCATCTATGGACACATACAGGAGAAAAGCCTAATCAGTGTCCCTATTGTTGTAAAAGATTTTCTGAAAAGTCTGATCTTACTAGGCACCTTCGGACTGTACATGCAGGAGAGAAGCCCTTTAAGTGTTCCCACTGTAATAAAGGATTTTATCTAAAGCATGAGCTTACTAGTCACCTTAGAACACATACAGGAGAGAAACCCTTTAAGTGTTCCCAGTGTGATAAGGGATTTTCTTTCAAAAGTGATCTTACTATCCATTCAAGAACACACAGTGGTCAAAAGCCTTATAATTGTTCCCATTGTGATAAGGGTTTTTCTCAAAAAGGAACTCTTAATACTCATTTGAGAACACATTGTGGAGAAAGGCCTCATCGATGTTCCTATTGTGATAAAAGATTTTCTGAAAAGAGTACACTTACTAGGCACCTTAGAACACATACAGGAGAGAAACCCTTTAAGTGTTCTCAGTGTGATAAGGTTTTTTCTCGTAAAGGTTATCTTACTATTCATTTAAGAACGCACAGTGGAGAAAAGCCTCATCAATGTTCCTATTGTGATAAAGGATTTTCCGAAAAGACTAAGCTTACTAGGCACCTTAGGACACATACTGGAGAAAAGCCTCATAAATGTGCTTATTGTGATAAAGGATATTCTCGAAAGCATGACCTTACTATCCACGTTAGGACACATACAGGAGAGAAACCTTTTAAGTTTTTCCAGTGTAACAAGGGATTTTCTTGGAAAATTAATCTTACTACCCATTCAAGAACTCACAGTGGAGAAAAGCCTCATCAATGTTCCTTTTGTGATAAAATATTTTCTGAAAAGAGATTGCTTACTAGGCACCTTAGAACACATACAGGAGAGAAACCCTTTAAGTGTTCCTATTGTGATAAAGGATTTTCTGAAAAGGCTAACCTTACTAGACACCTTAGAACACATACAGGAGAGAAATCCTTTAAGTGTTCCCAGTGTAATAAGGGATTTTCTAAAAAGTATGAGCTTACTAGGCACCTTAAAGAAGAGAAACACTTTAAGTGTTCCCAGTGTGATAAGGGTTTTTCTATTGAAAGTATTCTTATAATACATTTAAGGACACACAATTGAGAAAAGCCTTATCAATGTGCTTATTGTGGAAAGAGGTTTTCTCATGAAATGGATATTACTAGCCAACTTGGAACACACACAGGAGAGAAACCCTTTGAGTGTTCCTATTATGTTAAAGGATTTTCTCAAAAAAATGACCTTACTATCCACCTTAGGACACATACAGGAGAGAAACCCTTTAAGTGTTCCTATTGTATTAAGAGATTTTCTTGTAACAGTAATCTAAATAGTCATCTGAGAATACGTACTGTTGAAAAGCCATTTAAATGTTAACTTTGTTAAGAAAGGGATTTTATCGGTGTATGATCTTGCTAATCGCCTAAAAACAAACAGGAAAAATCCCATATAAATGTCTTAAATATAATTTTGGACTGTTGTATAAGTGATCCTACTAGCTACCTTAAAACACATACAGGAAAGAAATCCTTCAGGTGTTCTTGGGGTGATAAGGGTTTTCTCAAAGAAGTACCCTCATTAGCCATTTAAAGGTAATGCAAAGTTTTGGGAAATTTTGAAAATTGTATGGATAGTAGTTCTTTAAAATGCTGATACATTTGGATGCCCCTGTTGATGTACTATGAGCACTAGAAAGTTTAGCCCCTAAAACACTTCTGCTTTTGAGCAAATTGAATAATCAAAATTTACCGGTGCTCCCGGTAAATTTCAAATATTTGAAATAGCGCCCAAGACTATTCCATGGTAGCTACGACCATGAAAATCTCAGAATATGCAGTTCTGATGTATTATTTCCAAATGGAAATAGCAAATTGTTTGATTATAGTCAAGAAACATTGTTTTAAAGCTAAAGTAATATCAGTCTTGAGAGGGAGCTATATAACATAAAGAGTTTATTATTTACAATGTCATCACTTTAGACTCGGTTTCAACCCCGACAACGATCATTGAATATTGTAAAAATCGATGTCCCTGTTGTGATAAAGGATTTTCTCAAAAGTCAGAGAGTACTAACCACCTTAGAACACATACAGGAAAGAAACCTTTGAAGTGCTCCAAATGTCATAAGGGATTGCCTCAAAATAATCATCTTACAGAGCATCTGAGAACAGACTTTGAAAGAAATAAGTACCGGTAGTCCTTGTTCTTTTTGCAGTAAAGAATTCTCTCAACCAAGTAATCTTAGTGTTAACACATCATCAGAGCTCACACTGGAAAAACAATGTGAATACATGCATGTCTTCCTCGTGTGATAAGGGATTTTCTGAAAAAGAAAAAAGAAAGAAAAAGTTAACTAGCTTACTAGGTACCTTAGAACACATACAGGAGAGAAACCCTTGAAGTGTTCCCTTTCTAGCAAAATTAATCTTGTGCATTCAAGAATGCACATTGGAGAAAAGCCTTATCGATATCCCTATAGTGATAAAGGATATTTTGAA